CCGATCATATGACAGGGGCATTTGTTCAACTATGTTCATAGCAGCATTATTTGTAATAGCCAGAACCTGGAAACAACCTAGATGTCCTTCAATGGAAGAATGGATGAAGAAAGTGTGGAATATATACACATTAGAATACTACTCAGCAGTAAAAAACAATGACTTCTCGAATTTTGCATGCAAATGGATGGAAATAGAACACACTATCCTGAGTGAGATAACCCAGACCCAAAAAGAAAGATCTATTCTTAACAAATATTTGAAAAATGAAATTTAAAAGCGACTCTAAGTCATCGCTCATATTTTTAAAAGAAAAAGGGCACAAATAAATATTTTAAAAATTATTGACTTCCAAATCAGAGAAAATGCTGTCAACTGTGTGTGTATGTTTATGCATGTTGTGTGCATGTGTCTGTGTGTGTGCTTGTGCCTATGGGGGGAGTCCGTGTTTCTCTGTGTGTATAACTGTCTGTGTGTATGTTTCTCTCTGTGTGTAGCAGTATGTGTTTGCATCTATGCTTCTGTTTCTGCATGTATCTGTATGTGCCTATAGGTGCTGTGTGTGTGCATATGTGTGCATATGTGTGCATTCCATTCAGAATAAAATGTAGGGCCTCTATAATGTCCTCCAGCACACAGCTGTATTTCTGTTTCACAGTGGAGGTCCCTTCCTCTTCTTGTTTGCCAGTCTCCCTTTCTTCTCTCTCTCTCTCTCTCTCTCTCTCTCTCTCTCTCTCTCTCTCTCTCTCTCTCTGTCTTCTCCCTTCTCCTCTCCTCCCTTCCTCCCTTCTTCCCTCCCTCCAGCTCTCTTTCTCTCCCCCTTTCTAAGTTATTTATTTAGTCCACATACCTTTAATTCAACATTTAGAAGGTAGGAGGATTTTAAGTTTGAGGTTAGCAAGGGCTGCAAAGTGAGTTCTGTCTCAAAATACGAAAAAGAAAAAAAAGATTCAAACAAGAATATCTTTACTTCTTGGCCTACCGTAGGAAGATAATATTTATTAGTTAGACTAATTTTGCAACAAACAAAATAACTTTATCTTACCCTGTGGCTTATTAGTTTTCAACAGCTGGATGTCATAGATATTTAGGTAGTGACTAATAAAGTGTTGTTAAGTACTTTCCAGTTGCTTAGTATGTGGGATGATTGCTCTAGTAAATAAAATGTTGGCAGAATTATGAAAATGATATTTTTCATCAATTTTCTGTGCAAGGAAATAAGTACTTATACTTTTTGCCCATTTCATATTCATAATCTAGTTAAGAAAACTGAGAGAAATATGTTGATTTAGGTTAAACTGAAAAACTTAAACCAACTCTCAGTAATTCTATTAGTGCTTTTCTTTGTGTTTGGGGAAATACACCTCCATTCTTTTTATTTATTAATTTTTATCATTATTTTATTTTATGTTTATGGTGTCTTGCCTGCATATATGTCCATATACAAGATGCTTGCCTGCTGTCTATAAATAAAGACCCAAAGAGAGCATCAGGACCCCTGGGAATGGACTTGGAAATGACTGTGAGTTATCACATACACGCTGATAATCAAACCTGGGCCCCCGGAAGAGGAGCCAGTGCTCTTAGCTGCTAAACCGTATCTCCAGAAGCTTTTTTTGTTTTCAATGTTTTATTACAAAACACACAAATAGAAGTACCTAGCTATGTTGAGATTATCAGGAAAATTATAGGATAAAAGGAAAGGATGAAGCATAAGGATGTAATTACAGATTACATAAATACAAGAGAATGAAGACATCAAAACAGTGTCCAAACATTTAGATGTTTTAAGTGTAGGAAACAGAGATGAGACAGCATCTCACTTCAATCAGCTGTCACTATAGTGCTGGGGACATTTCCTGGCTTACTGATAAGAAGCATGGTATATCTCTTGGTTTAGAAGTCAGGATCGAAATGTATAAATAATCTCAATGGGCGGTTCAATGGGTGAGAGTTAAGCTCTGGTGAGCATCAAGGAGCTGTGTCATGCTACTGCACAGTCGAATGACCGTAGGTGACAGAGCAGTGCGCGTGTCAGAAAGCTTGAAAGCATTCTGAGCTTTTTCGTCATAAAGAAATAATAAATTCCTCATATCTACTTAAATAAGTTTGATCACCTAGGTCTTAAATTTCATGAGGCGTATGCTATCTAGTAAATGGTGGCTTCCATTTCTCCATGACATCACTACTAGCCCCATAGGGATTGCTGGGTTCCAGTGCCAGGCGGGTTTTCTCTCTTATCAAGCAGGTCTTCAGTCAAATTATAGAACTGCGGCTACTGGAAAGGAATGTAGAAAGGAAGAGAACTATTCTTTCCTGGGAAGAGCCTCCCAACTATTGATATAATACTAAATTTTCAGTCCTTGGTGTATTATATACATACAAGGAACATTATAGGAACTGAAAGGTTATATTTACATATTAAATGAAAATAAATATATTAAAGCATTTGTTGTTGTTGTTGTTGTTGTTGTTTTGCTTTTCGAGACAGGAGTTCTCTGTAGGAGCCTGTCCTGGAACTAGCTCTTATAGACCAGGCTGGCCTCGAACTCACAGAGTTGACTTCACATGCCTGTTCTTGTTCCTTATCAGGACAACTATTGAAACTGGAAGTATAGTTAACCTGTTCGTGATCATAAGGTGCACACCATCATTCTGAATCTGATTCCCATGCTGTCATTTGCATTCATAATCCTCACAGGCTACAGATAGAAAAAGGAACCGATCTTAGTTTCTCTGTGGAGTTGCCAGGGAAACTCCTGGTGTTACACAAGGTCCCAAAACCCAATGCCTTAGAACCAGTGTGTAGCTACCCAGGATTTGGTGTTGATAGGTCAGGTCATCTGCTGGCCTTGCCTGGGTTTGTCAACCTAGAACATTCAGGGGCAAATCTCGTGGCAAGTCCTGGGTATGGACTTGGAATATTTGTGGTTTATTCTACTATCTATAAACTGAAAGGTAAGGAAAGACCTTGACGATACACAGTTTTACGGGAAATTACATGAAGCAATGATACAAACTGCAGATCAAAGAATTTATTTAAAGTGAGTTAACAAGTGTGGCAATCAAAGTTTTGAAGAAAATGGTACAAATCTTGTTTTTATCTACTCTTTCAGTTACAACTCTTTCTTAGGCCTCGAAAGTAGGGCTGTTACACAGTCCTACTATTCTTCCTTCCCAACCTAACTGGGATCAATTTTGATATTTTGAATGATTATTTAGTTTTTTCGTCTGCATATCTGAACATATAAGGTTCTAAACTGCTCTTAGCCTTTTGAACTCGAAGCATCATCTGGGAATCTCCTGCACACTTTTCTGTGCACACATCAACTCACATCTTATCCTGACAGCAGAGCAATGTGGTTACTTCAAATTTGTTTTAAGATGCATTCTGCATTAACATCACTATGCTAACTAATGTTTTATCCGCAAAATGCACTTATTACTACTATTTTCTAGAATTAAGGTGTACTCTTAACTTTTTATCTTGCTTCACCAAACCCTTCCCAAAGCGTCGCTCAATGTGATCTAACACATCTTCTCTTTTATGCTACTTTACTTTGTATTTTTTCTTCTTTTATGTCATTGAAAGCATCTTGGAGACCACTCTTCGGCAGCCTTTGTTGATTTCCTCCATTCTTAACTTGTCCACTTGTAGATATTTCCAACTGTGTGCTGCTACCCTCCTTCACTGTCATCATGAGAATTCCCCCCTTTCTCTTTCTTTTAGAGTTCACCCATTCCTGCTTCCAAGTATCTTCCAATTTTGGTTTATTTATTCATTGAGCTGGAGCCTATCCTTTAACAGCTTTCTCAGAAACGATGTTTATGAGGGAAACTCTCAAGGACTTTAAGTATTTCAATTGGATCTATGATTGATATAAAATTTTCAGGTAAAAGTAACTTTCTGTTGGAATTTTTAAAGACTGTTCTATCTTCTAGGACAGATATACTGCTAAGTCTGTTGTTAATTTGTTTTCTTGTTTTTGTCCCCTAAAGCTTTTACAATCATATCTTTACTGATGTTGTTTAAAAAATCTAAATAACAAAAGTTGAATTTTGCTAGATCTTATAACTGGACTCTTAAAATCTGGGAACCCATTAAGTTCTAATGTCTTCATTGATTTGGCACTGTGCTTCTGAGTTGGATTCATATTTAAATGAGGTGCTGACTCTCTTTGTCTCTCACTTTTTGGGTTATGAGCTTCTTTTTTCTCTACTTTGCTAAATCCACTACTGCTAAACACCGCAATTTATGTCTTCCTAGAGAAAAGCCTTTCCCAACACTTCCCCACCTTCAACTTATTTTTTAAAAGGAAAAATATTTTCCAACTGTAACATAATTGTAATGGGAACTTGGGAGAAATTTTATAAATATTTTATATACATATATATAATAAAAATTATATATATATTCTTGTGTTTTTAAAAACTATAACAAGATGACACCGTAATATCATGTTTGCTAGTTGCTGAGGATGAAGTTATTAATTTTAGCCTAATTTTTAATAATTTATTTTAGCATTATGTAGAAAAAACTTTTCCCTTGTGGTTTTCTTTAAGTTATTGAAGTAATTAGACTTAAATCAGCACTCCAATTTCCCATTTTTCATAACCGCTGTCATATTTCCTTCTATTTATTGAGTTAAAACATTTTCTTCGAGCCCAGTTTTAAATCTCCTTGCTGTTTACTCACACGAAAGCCATCTCCAACCTAATCATTTTATTCTGCACATTGCTCTTGATGCAGTCTTTCACAAACAATAAATGGTGAGTTTGTATCATTGTACTATATGCTTATGAAATAACCATTTCTTTTAAACATAGTTCCAAGGTCAGTAGAACATCCTCAGTGGAACTGGCGGACTAAACCACAAAGCCGTGATTTTGATGAATTGAACCACATCCTTCAAGAGAGCAAGAAGCTGGGGAAAGCCCTTGAGAATCTCTCTCGAAGTAAGTTCATTTTCTTGACAATAATTGAAATTCAGAGCCCATGTTAAAGTACAAACATCATCACGATTGGCAGTAATCCATTTCTGACATCCTCATTATCATTTTGTAAGGCCGAGGAATGCTAAGGGAGTGAGAGCTGAAAAGAGGTTTGACTGTGCCCATGGCTCAGATCTGTCCACAGGCTGCACAGTGGGCGGAAGCTATAGGACCTTTGGAGCAGCTGGACTCTGGTCCCCTTACATGGTTTCTGTTACATAGTTCAAACGCACGTTCAGCAGCCTCTTCTTCATTCTTCTGTTATAAAAAGCACTGTTTGGTGTCGTTCTTAGAAATAAGCATTTCTTTCTCCTCCATGAGTTTTGGATGTCTATACACCATTGCAGGTCAACAACTGGGTCAAATTCTTCTTAGAGTCCTCTCAGAGCCTAGCATGAAGACATGGTATTTACTTTTCCCCAGAAAACAGCATCTCTACTCTGAGGGCATGACCTGGAGATTTCACTGTGTCATCTATCTATAAGGTGAACACCACAGACAAATCACTTAACTTCCATGATATGTTTCTCTCTTATCCAAAGCAGCAAGAAGTTGCTGTGGCTCCCTGGGGAAGGGTGAGGCTATGAGATAATGTGTCCTTCAGGCGGCTTTTCGGTCACTATTACCACTATGGGATCAGAAAATCTGACAAGCATTTTACCGATGTAATTTGGTGACTGTGGACTGAATTTGCAGACACACATGTGTTATGTTTTAAGTAGCAAGTTTATGATATTACTATCTTAATCTGTGTAGGTATTTCTCCACTTCAAAAAGAAAAAGAAAAAGTCAGACATCTTCATAAGTCAGTTAAAAATCATGGATTCATCATAATTTTCTTTTGATGCAATCTAAGCCTAATAATTCTGAAATGAGTCTATATCTTTCAAAGTTTGTCATTGTCCCTTCGTACGCTTTTGGCAAAGTTTTAAATTATATATACCTATGTATATTGCATTGTTAGACAGTACATTTATACATACCTTTATGTGTTATACATTTACAAAAATATCATTTTCATTTAAAAGTAGAACTTTCAAGACTTTTATACAGTGAAGAAAGGTGAGAAACTAAGATGCCTTGCAATAAGATGTTAAACCCTGAGATAGGATTTACAAAATTCCTGCTTTGAGCTATATTTACTTTTGAAGCAGAAAACAACGAAGTGGTTTTCAGCTTATTGTTAAATTGAAAGGAGCCTGATCCCACTATTATGGCAAAGGCACACGCTAATATTTCTGAGTCTGATGAGTTGGGGAAGTGGTTGGGCTAAAACAGCTTCTTCATTCTTTACAAACATGAGCCAAGAAGATGAATGAAGAGCGAGCTTGATCCTTATTCATACCCATCAAACTGTGTCCTGTAAAACAGTGCAGCAGCCTAGCAAATACTCGCCTTGTTGTTTCCCCTAAAGCCTGGTCTGCCCCCAAAACTGTTATATATACTATATATAACAAAGTACCACATGCTGGTGCATTCTATACTCATAGAACATACTTCTCCAAGTAAAGAATGTTAAGTCCAAGATGAAGTGCTTAGCTGATCCTTTTTAGTGACATCCTTTTCTTGTCGCTTGTTTGGTTGAATTTTTGTTCATAGGCAGTGCCTTCTTTCCACTGTGGTGGAGGGCCAGGCAACCCTGGGGGTCTCTTTTGTGTGGGCACTAACACCATTAATAGCAGAGGAAACTGTTCTAGAATCATTTCCCAGGCTTCACCTAGTACTGCTGTAACAGTGGAGTTCAGGCTTTAACGTATGAATTTGAGATACACAGATATTTGCACTTGCACACAGGTGAAACTCCTGGGCAGAGTTGTGCTGTCTGAAGCCCATGGTGGGCTTCCTTAATCTGGGGAAGCAGGAAACACTGGGGCTCTCAGCAGGAGGGTAGAGGAGAGGCATCTCTATGATTTGCTGCATCTTACAGGTCACAGTGGAGCATTTCTCCAAAACTTCGTCTTCTTCCAAAGGGTGTGCCCGGTGAGGTCAGGTTCCCACAGGTTACTCTCTCATCTTATTTGTTCAAAGCCTATGAGATTGAGCTCTGATCAAGAGGCAAATATATCTTCCCACTTGGTAGCTCTACTCAGACTTGGGGGAAGGGGGGGAAGGACTGTTCAGGTGCGAATCTTGGGAACTGTTTTAGAATTCTGCCTGTCGCAGATACTTACCAGACAACAACATGCTCAGATATGTACAACACACCAGAAATGTAAGATCAGCCATACATGGAAGTTTCTATTTCCAATTGGGTACATTAAAGACTATTAAAATAATTACATGGAATTAAATTTAGTGAGACAGATACCCTAATGTATCAATTATCCAATTTTGGTAGGCTTCTTCTAAAATAATCATTGCAATCTATTATAGTCACATCTTATTTCTTAGTCTTCAAACTGTAGTGTGAATTTTAATTCCCAGCTCATCTCAGTCTGAACCAGGGCATTTCCAGTATTTGTTCTTTACATGAGGAGACGCATGGCTGCTGAACCAGGCTGCACAATCTAATGTTACACACACACACAGAGAGAGAGAGAGAGAGAGAGAGAGAGAGAGAGAGAGAGAGAGAGAGAGAGAGAGAGAGANGAGAGAGAGAGAGAGAGAGAGAGAGAGAGAGAGAGAGAGAGAGAGAGAGAGAAACATGCACACATACAGGGTGTCAAGCAGAGCAGCTAGCGCTCAGTGTCTCCATTGCGTCCTCTTCCTGTCACTCTTCACGGCACCAGTGACTCTTCCATTGCCAGTTGATTCCAGCTGCCCAAGAGATAGGCATGGTTTGTGGTCCTCGCCCAACCGAACTGCTTGCATTGTTGGGTGCTTTCTTTAGACTCACTGAGCTCTGTCTTCTGCAGAGCTGGTAGCCGCTTGATCTGCCCTGCCTACCGTCACGTCACTGCATGTAGGGTCTTACTTGGGAACTCTTTCTATCCTGTGATTCGTCCTTTGACCCACACTCACAATGTATTCATCGCTCCCAAACAGCTAGTGCAAATGTGTTTATTTCTCACCCAGACTTTCCCCAGGATTTCATGCAAATGTTTGGCTGGCATGGATCCCCACTTAGGGATACCACCGTAAAGTCAGCGTAAGTAAAGGGAAAGAACGTTCTCCCCGAGGTGGTATTTTAGCAAGCTGCCTTGGGTGGTGTTACTTTTACTAATCAAACCCTTCTACTATTCTCTCTCTCTGTCTCTGTCTCTCTCTCTNTCTCTCTCTCTCTCTCTCTCTCTCTCTCTCTCTCTCTCTCTCTCTCTCTCTCTCTCTCTCTCTCTCTGTGTCTCTCTCCTTCCCCACCATAACTAAATTACCAAATCTTGGTCCTTTTCCCTTTTAAATATATATTTCATCTGATTCATTTCTTTTTTCCTGTCAGGCTCTAGTAGCTTACACTCTTTTTTTTTTTTTTTGGTGGTTTTTTGAGACAGGGTTTCTCTGTAGCTTTGAAACATGTACTGGAACTAGCCCTTATAGACCAGGCTGACCTCGAACTCACAGAGATCCACCTGCCTGCCTCCCAAGTGCTGGGATTAAAGGCATGTGCCACTAGTGCCTGACGTAGTTTACACTCTTAATATCATGATTAGATGATTGGTTTAGCTAGTCAGCATGACCCATTTCATTACACTCCTGTATTGTACAAGGGCAACTAGAAACTGTTGTCCCTGCCTTGTTGATCTTATGAGTGACTCGGTTGCCTTATTCCTATGTTAAAAAAATCTTGTGGACAGACTTTCTGTAGGGTGACATGAGATAAATATAGTCTCATCTGGAGAATGGCTTAATGTGGTGTTCTAGAAACACAGATTCTATCCATTTTGTTATTTTTTTCCATCTTTAACAAAAGCCATTCAATGCTGTTGCAGAAGGAGGAGGTTCCTAGGGAACCCAGTTTCTATTGCCTGGGTGTGGGAGCCAAGGGGCACTCATCATGTTTATATGCATTCTACAAAAGCTGCAAGGGAGTCTGGACACCAGCGAGTATGTGGAACCAGGAGGAGTATGGCGATAATTCGGGAATGAGAGCTATCCTTCCGCACGCTCACAGTTTGTTTCTCCAGTAAGCCCACACTACAGCTGAAGTGACTCTCAAGTCCTGGCACTTGTTTCACACAGCTCCACTTAAATGCTCAGAGCAATAACTTTTAGGTCTGGCCTGACCATGTCGTCAGTGTTAGGTCTTACAGCTTTTAGATGTACCACCTCCCACTGATGTGCCTCTATTATGCCTTATGGCTTTCAGGTATATCACATCCCATTGATGTGCCTCCTGTCATTTAGTCTGCTCTCCTTGAAATCCTGTCGGGCATAGTTTCCTTTGCTAACAACCTGCCTTTCCTTGCTTCAGGTCAACCCTATCCTCCAAGATAAATCTGCTGCTCTGTCTGGCTCTAGACTGAATTTGGATTTAGGATTTTGAGACTCCATGACTGTACTTTCCTGCCATTATCTGTTTTTCCTTAATCTCTTCTTTGGACCCAGAGAATTTTAAGGATAGGGAAGTCATTCTAAGGACAGAACTCTCAGACTCCCAAGGACTTGAAAGTGATTAGCACTGCACACAGTCATGGTTTGCTGGATGAGTGTTCCAGCTGGCTCCATGACTTCCACATATATCATTTTTGGAATGTCTCTGTCTGCATGTCTGATCTGCTTTTCTTTAATTCTGAGTCACCGATTAAGATGACATGGATTTGATTGAGCACAGGTTTGTTTGCTGGAAGCTTTTCCTGTGGCTATTACATGAACTGGAGGGCAATTCTCAAAAATAAGTAGGTGAAACTGTGAACAAACAAGGTAAAGTGAAAAGGCAGCCATTCCCTGCTCTGTGCATTTGGTTAAGTGCATTTTCTCAGTGAACTCCTACGCCCAGAGCAGCCAGGCTCCTAGCAGTTTATGAATTTGTTCCTCGTCTACATCTGGCAGTTTCCCTGGAAGAAGTAGTGGTGGATGACTGTCTTCAG